TTAGTCTGGTTTGTTACAAGCATGCATATGACACAATGCAGAGATACACGATCATGGAATGCATTATACCCATAGGCGCAACTCCCACTAATTGTGTTGGAAATGGTCCAGACCACCAACCTTTATCCTATTCACATTTAAACCATACTGGTTTATATTGTGGTAAAACAGCATGCGCCTTCGAGAGAACACAATGTAATAGAGAGAACAACAGACGTCAAAGAGACACAAGGTCATAATGACAGAGGGTCTAAGAGAGAAGAGTACAAGGTCATAGAGAGGACAGAAGAAGGTCTATGAGAGAACAACATAAAATCATAGAGAGAACGCAAAGCCATAGAGAGAACAACACAAGGTCAACGAGAGACCAGAACAAGGTCACTGAGAGAACACAAGGTCATAGAGACCAAAAAGAGACCAGAACAAAGTCATTGAGAGAACAAATGAAAGAAGGCCAAAAACAGAACAGGACATGGTCATAGAGAGGACAGAACGAGGTTTTTGAGAGAACAAATGAAAGAAGGCCAAAAACAGAACAGGACAAGGTCATAGAGAGGACAGAACAAGGTTATTGAGAGAACAAATGCAAGAAGGCCAAAAACAGAACAGGACCAGGTCATAGAGAGGACAGAACAAGGTTATTGAGAGAACAAATGCAAGAAGGCCAAAAACAGAACAGGATTAGGTCATAGAGAGGACAGAACAAGGTTATTGAGAGAACAAAAGAAGGCCCAAAACAGATCAACTCAAGGTCATAGAGAGAACACAATGTCATAGAGAGACCAAGACAAGGTCAAAGAGACAGCAGAACAAGGTCATATTGAGAAGAACAGAAGATCAAGGAGAGAACAGAACATGCTTATAGAGAGAACAGCAGTAGTTACAAAACTAAATACTACCAAGTTGTATCTATATTACAAACATCAAAACCTTTACATAAACTTCCTCTCATTTCAAACAACATCATTTATTGAGTAAGAACCTCAATTAGAACATTTACCAAATGAACTATATTCCAAGTTCAGATGAAGGAAAAACTTTTGAGTTTCCAATCAAAGTTTTTTGTCGTTTCGTTCCAGGCTGGAGGACTTAAAAATTCTGACGGAAACATGTAAAGTGAATTAGGTGAGATCTTGATAAGCCTTCGATTTGACTGCAGCGTTGTTTTATTACATTTTTCTCTGATGTTCAGTCGGCGGGACACTGAATTTCATTACATTATCAACGTAGTCAGACTCTCCGACTCTATGGGGTGAGCATTAACAGGCAGTCTTTGCTGCATACTGAGTTCGTCTTATTGTTTAAGATTTGCTGAGGGTGAATTAAGAGATCCCCTTTTCGGTTTCAGTATTGAAATCTACCTTAATGTGGCATCGTTTATCTCGTACTGAGGCGAACTGATGCGTTCGATAAGTTTTTTAAGACGAGATTTGTGTTCCTGGCACAGATGACGCAGCTTGCAAAAACTGATTAATGGATGTTGGAAAAGTTCCTTCGAAAGATAACATGTGTTAAATAATTACAAAATAATAGCTGTTCGAAAACAATCCGCAGAGTTTCCCCCAAAGATAGAATATACAACAGAAATTGGATGACTATCAGCAGACCTGCTACCAAGGTCACAAAGAAAACATATATACTAAATTAATCAATATGTAACATTTTTTAACCAGATACATCGTTCTGTCTACAGATGAACCGTTGTTGTGGGCCATTCTCATAATAATTAATAATCTTGATATGAAGCTGTTTACGTGTTACTAATGTTTAATTTGGTTGTTCCTTGTATTTTATTAAGAGTATTTATCTGCACTGGGTTTATCATTGCAGAAACAGGGTTCCAACCAACACGTTTAAACTCGATATTGAACATGTTGTGCTTATTGTGACCTATATACGGTATGCCTAAATGGGCATTAAGAAGTCATAAACTAAAGGCTATTTGATAACTAGATTACAGCCCGCTTGCCCCAACTCTGCATTTGCATTTCAATCATCCCAGTACAGCAGAGAGCATAGTCCTATTACCATTAAACCAACATGTTATCGTCAATGATCCTGACTCGCTTCTACTGACAGCGATCAGCAAACAATTTGCATCGATTGGTTTTAGTTATCCGACTGCGTTCAACCGTCAGTTTGGCACCCATTGACACAAACATTGGAATAAATGGTAATTGTTCCTATTTTTGCATTATGACATCAATAGAATGTGATTTATTGAAATGTAGTGCAATTTATATCAGTTCCTAACAAGACTGTGTAAGATTGTGTGTTCCTTTGCTTAAGAGTTGTTCTTGAAAATATTTCCTATATTGATAATCAATCTCCCCAGTTTACAATGTGAAGTATGTAAATTGTCCTGCATCGATGAAGCAGTCAATGGGTTAATATGATGAATTGTGCTTCTTGCTTGTAGATAACAGTAAGGAGGATGACAGGAGGTGTATGAAGACTATTTACAAACCCAATGTTCTTGTCACTTCATATATATGTCAACGTCCAGTAACGATGTCCTAAAAAAGCTAATTCTAATACTTTCGTCTCTGTGTCCTACCTATATGGGGAAAGGGGGGGATAACAATCGGAGGTTAACAAGTCTGGTTAGGCTTCATGATAATTCTTGCACCGTTATGTTTGAGTTTGATACAGTATACCAGGTGTTTGCAAGAGGTTGCTCCAGAATGGAGTATTTGGTCTCAACGTAGTGATTGTGGATCCGATAGAAAATATGTAAATAGATGTATATGAATTCAAACAGACTTTAAGACAATTCACAGACAAACATTTAATACAATTAACACTAGCTCTTACCTATTATGATATGATATTATATGATTCTTATTTTAGAGTAGTTTTTTTTATAAACATTTATTTTATCTTTTATCTGTTTTAGTATAGTGTAGCAATGGCGCATATATATATATAGCCATGGGTAACTGTCATTAATATTTGTCAACGCATTTTTCAGGACTTATATAATATCGAGAGAAAAATGTTTGGTATGGCACATGGTTTACTATTAACAGAGTTCATCGCAGTAGAAAACAACATGCCACTCCATTTACTCCGATTGACACTTTGTATCTTAGACTAATGGAGAACACATACCTTGATGAGACACACTTGTACACTGTGAAGCGCTCACACATTATTAAAGAAATATTATGCAAAGTTATTCACGGTTCAGGCGTCAGTTGAATGTGTTGTGTTCTATTAAGAAATGCATAATTCGTTTTAATTCAATACATGAGGTTTTCCACAGGCACTTAATAAGATGGGTTTTAAGTGATATTTCAGCCTTACATTAACTTAGCTTATAAAAAAAGGAGATGTAACAGGATGATTGTAACGAATCTCGGTAGTAACAATACACAGAAATGCATCGGTTGTTGTCAGATCAAATGTGTAACAACCCCTCCACTGACACTGGGGGTTTATTAGTGGGGATACCACTTCATTCAGACAAGATTCTTTGCAATTATGTTTTCCCCGATCAACTTAAAGGTTAAGGAATTAGGTCGGACTGCTAAAAAAAAGTATACAAACGTTAAAACGATTGACAAATTACCTTCACTGAAGAACAGGGTCAATGAGTTGATATGGTTATTCATAAGGGAGATACTTCTTAAGTTTGATTGAGGGTTTTCGGGATTGAGTGATTGGATGGGTGAATATTTGCGTTCATTGAAATGTCACTGAAATATCCTTCTTTATGCTTCTTTAGACAGTCGAAGAGAAAGATCGAGAAGATATTACTCTGCACCCCCCCCCCCCCCCCCCCCCCCCCACCACCACCATTCTTAACAGCGAAGAATTTCTGTTAAAAGAATAACATACCTAAATCAACTCCTTATGATATTCCACATGATACCACATGAGGATAATAGATGTATGAACCCACAATGCTGCAATACTAACCATGTTCACTGAATCACTCATTTAAACAAAATAAACTTTATTTGGTGAATAACGGTAACATCACATCACTATTCCCATTTGATAACATTTCTTATGCTTGGAGTATGAAAGCAACTTCAACTTTTATGTAGTGTTTAAAATTATCAGAAAGTATTGATCCTTTTCATAGCTATATTTTTTTAATCAATTTTCTGACATGTTAAGAGTTGCACAGGGAGCAAGAAGACACGACGGCCTTTGACTTGTCTCTTGTATTCACATTCAATGAAACGAAAACACTCATTCTTAACACATGAATATCAGCATGCTCTGCGATCTAAATAGATATTACAGACAGTTCATGATCTCATTTTACTTTGTTTACAATACAAGGCTATTGAGAACAAGTAACGTTCTTCAGCATGTCCCGTAAGCTCTTTCTTGAGCACTTAAATGCCTTCTATAAACCTCTCGCCGTGCCGTCAATAATCAATACATATCACACAATCATTTGGTTTCAAGAAGACTTGAAATACTTACAGCTAATATTGTTGTTGTACTTGAATTTGGTCAAACGCATAAACTTCATTGACCATTAAAGATACCATAAGAGGCAGTTACTTGTCAGAACGTAAATCATATATTCCCAGATTACACTATTCATTTCTCCCATCGAGCAAAATTCATTTTAGGCATGTGATTATACATAGGCGTATATAGTTTGCCCTAACGCATTGAAGATAATGTACAGATTAACACGTGTCTAGATTTCGCTACATCATTAACATCCGTGATTAAACTCTAATGTTCACTTGAAGATCATTGACATGAGAAATAACGAGTACGACTGAAATAAGAGCCATACCATTACACAACGCTTCACTAACACAGAGACATTTAATAAATACAGCTCAGCAAACCCTATAATTTCTCGAGACAGAATGCATATTCTTCATCTAACCGGGAATACTATTTCAAGATCACTGCATGCTCGACTATTCGTTTGAGGACAATAATAGCGCAGCATCCACGGGCGGACGACGTCTCATTAATCAACTGGAGTAACGCGGCTCTAGTGAGGCAACATAGACAGTACTCACCTCTCTGAAAACTCGCGAGCGGAAAACAAGGAGCAGCGATGAAATATCCCCTTTTGTACTCTAACTCAGTGTTCATGCGTCTTCTGTTCCATTCCTAGCAACGCATCTCGTCTCTGCTAACGGAATGCCCCGTTCAAGAATAGGCTTTACCAGTTTGGCACCAAGTATGGATCAGTCCCATGAATTCCTCATTTGTTGAGAAGCTTTTTTCTTTCAATTAAGGGAGATTCCTCGCTGTACAGGCGTTAAAGGGAGATTATTAAATTAACCGTCCATTTGCTGTAGGAACGAAATGGTGAGAATGGAAAATGGTCTCACATCTCGGTTCTACCCTTTCTCTTGGTTTATTCCATGTCAGACCCCAGGGGTTCTTGAAACTATTCTTAGCATCACAAAACACCTCGGAAAACTGCGAGCTATCTCTGTTTCTCTCCGTCGATGCAAGGGGTGTTTCAAAACAGAAAATATGCAAATGTCCTCCGATGTGATGAAAGAGACAAAAGTTTGGGGTGTGTGTCTGCATACAAAGAGATGTTCATCCCCTACTCGTGTGTCTGCAGCGACAATTTATCGCTTAATTAGTTCAGCTTAAACACATTTCGACAACGTATATGGCACCGTTCCAAGCGTTAGGACGTATCTTAATGTTACTGGTTGTGAGATATACAATTATCAGTCGCAGTGATCTACAACATCAGAAGCGGACGGTCATGAAGTTATTCTGGGTGACGATGTTATAATCCGCCCAGTCCACTAAAATGATTTGTGAAGCTGCAAGCCATGACGGCGTGCATCCTATCAAACGGACACACATTCTATACCAGATTACAAATGTTGATACAAGATTAAGAGTGCTATTTACATAAATAATATTTTCTCGGTTTCACGGGTCTAAAGGTAACAACATTCAAAGCCACAGTAAAGCTTTAAAAAAGGTTTAAGATACTATCTGGAGAATGTTTCCAAATTTGGCGTATCAGTGACACAAAGGATGTCCTTGCAATTTCCTGTGTTGACTTGTGCCATTGGTTCCCGTGTTTTCAGGCGAACAATTCATTTGGCTTTGCATGTGTTTGTGACGGGTGGCACTGTTGGGGCAGGATACGCTCACCTTATTACGAACACTTGGTTTCATCACTCTTTGATTAATAAAAGAAAAAAATAAACCTTTCCATAGTCTAAAGAATTCTCCGCTAAAGGCAGAGTCTATTGCAAGATTTCGACTGTGTTATGAGCATGTGTTCATGAAGCACTATCAAATAGTGCTGACACCAGGTGTTATGTGTTGCCAGATACTGATTCAGAAGAACATGCTTTTTGGTGTAGTCGGAATCGTAAAATGGACCCTGCTTTAAGTAGAATTTTTTTTACGATTTTGGAGATTATTATATTTATAAAACGGAATCAAAAGAAGGAATATAGGCAGATGGACTAGTACAGTTTTATGAAGTTTCATAAAGATGTATTACGTTACATGTTTTCTAAATACGGACGATTTTCACTGGAAGCGGTTCTTTGAGAGTGCACATATACCATAGATTATTACTAATATCCATGTCGATAAGAACAAAAACCTTCAACCTTTTCAAACCCTTTCGATGTCAGAAAGCAACTGCCAGAAGTGTGCATAGTCGCAGCCTGTGGCAGAATCTCGTCAGTGTTTGTTTCTATAGTTAGTGTGGCTATAGTTAGTTGAAGTATTCCTCAGCAAAATTAATACAATCAAATCATGTGTGAAAGTATGTTTGGATATAAGTGGGCCATTGTGTCCATCTGGGTTGCATGCTTAATTCGCTGGCATCAAATAACATCCGCAAAGGTGTAAGAGCACAATGTCAATGATCTTGTGAATCGAAAATGTATTTGTATATTTTTCAAACATGTGAGGCAGAAATGGCCATTGAATGAAGGAATAACGTGAAAAATTCAACAAAACCAGAATCACCTAGTTTGCAGAATGATGGGATAAATGCAAATACACAACGGTTTTGTGTCACAGTGACATCAAAATGAATCTAATATCAAACTGCGAGTTTTACCTTCTCTGGAACACCTGGTACCGACGTCACTTTCTGATTTCAAGGTGACAGTTTAGGTTTCTGGTCTTTGGTTCTCATTTAATCACGTGTTTCAGCTAATAACATTCACATATGTTTTACAGAGATACTTCATCATATATGTAGTTCTCTCACGTAAATAAGATCCAGATACCCTCAAGGTATATAAAACTGCAACACATGCCTGTATAGCAGGTTGTTTATCGTTCATTCCAGTGGTCCAAACAGCTGCACCACTTGATAAAAACTACACCCTAGTCTCAGCCATTTAACGAACGTCTTGTGAACACATTGAGAGGAGCTTGGTCATCAGAACCACTCGCAATAAAAGAAGGAACAATACAATGGCATCTGTGTGTAAAACTTGTCTAGACATTTTATGCACGATACGAAACACGGTTTGTATTGATTATCTGCCCTTGGTGAGGCACAGCCCATGGCCAGATACTGCGCAACATGTTGCTACCTCGTAAAGAAGTCGACACAGTGTTCTGCGCTGGGCGTGCTAAGGAAATGATTCTTTGCTGATCGAGACGGGAGACAACCTTATGTCAATACTGGGTGGCCCTTCTTGACGTGAGAGTGACCCACTGTTCAATTTGGTACTGCTCTCTATGAAAATTATACCATTATGGCATTAGATATTGAAAAACGTCTGGAGATGCGTTACATTTCGACTCACATCTCACACGTTTTGGCACAGTAGACTTTGACAATGCCAGATTTATTTAACTCTGTTTATCGAAAAGCTTGGTTCGACGTCTCGGCCGGAAGCAAAATTAAATGATCGATGTGGATCTGTATGACTGAACTGGGTCATATTCACGTTCACGTTGAATGCCAGACGCTTTTGAGATAAAAATGATTTGAACAAAGAAACTACAGTGGAGTCGGAACTATCCCAGATGAGTCTATTTGTAACGTCTACATACATGTATATAAGTCTGTTCTACATATATATCTGATACAATGAACCTTTCCTCCGGGATTCCCTCAACTCATTATTAACATATCATATTGATCAAGAGTGCCTCTACTGCGTTTTCAGCCGAAACGGTAATGCAGAAAATAGTGCATGTTAACCAACAGACAGTGTTTGTTAACGAATACATTGTTGTTAATCATTTTTCATTAAAATATTATCTCCGTTCAGTATACGGTTGACGTTCGCGAGTGTTTAAAAAAGGACTTAAAATAAATTGGAATAAAATGTGTCACAGGGGTATGTTTACATAAACACCATGTTAAAAACATATTCATGCGCAAGAAATGTAATTGGCAGATGTAAAATCGTCACATAACATAAGATATAATTGTGATCAATGAACATGGCTAAACCAATATTGTCAATACATCTTCTTTCAACATGCCCGTGGTTGTCTCTACGAAAACCATCCGCCTCGGTCATATTTCAATATAATCACATCAAAATGATCCAAGAATATCGACATTTATAGAAATCGTGTAATTAAACTATTATTTTTTTCAGAAGATGAAGAGTTACAAGCTAAATGTCACTGCAGTTGGAAGAGATGTACGTGTAATGGGCTCTCAACGTGTTGTGAATTTATTGAGAAATAAATATCAGTGGTAGGTTTCAAAACAGCATGGATTTTGCCTTTAGTTCAGAGAATGAGAGCGTCAGAAATCAATCCTTTAGTTCTTTAGAGCAGCAAGAAACGTCGAATGGAAAGAAATAACCTTGTGATTAATGACCTATGCTAACTGTGTTAGATTTCTAGTCAGTTTTGCTTTAGCGTTCGATTTTACCGGAAATGAAACTGTCTTCTGTTTTCTTAGCTGACAATCATATACAAGGTTTATTTAGATAAATCTAAAAGGTCATTGGCGGTATCACTAATTATTGTGAACATATTCGCATGAAACGAAATGTCCTTTATTCATACATTAGATTAGTATATCAAATTGACTGTCAACATCGCAGGCATTATGAAGTTCTAAACATAAGCCACTAACACTACCGTCATTTTATCTGTGGCCTCCCACCATCATGGACCCGTGAAGATTACGGGGTAGAATAGGTCTTCAGCAACCCATGCTTCCCGTAAAAGGTGACTATGCTTGTCGTAAGAGGAGACTAACGGGATCGGGTGGTCAGGATTTCTGACTTGGTTGATGCATGTCATCGATCCCAATATCGTGGATCGATGCTCATGATATTAATCACTGGATTGTCTGGTTCAGACTCGATTATTTACAGACCACCGTCATATAGCTGGAATATTGCTGAGTGCGGCGTTAAACAAGAAACCAACCAACCCACCATCATGAGCATCATCAGTATATCGACATTACTTCCTCTGAATGACCGCATCGTCGCTGTCTTTAAACCGTTCTAAATGTGTAATTATCTAGGATGTAACTATTGTTACACCTGTGACTCAGATTAGGAGAGAGGATGGGGCCTTTGAATTGATCCTTCCTGTGTAAACCACTGACTCTTTTTTATTACGCTCAATTTTCCGCAGTCTTTTCTCTGTGTTGTCATGTCTAGAGACATTCCTTTCCAACAACATTCTAGTCAAAGATTCCCTGAAGTCAAGTGTGTCTCCCGGAGAATACTATTTACAGGCACATAAATAAGACGTCATAGCATTGTAAAGATTACGGTAATGGTGTCCTATTTCTAGGCAATTCGTTTAAATTAAAGATTACATGGCCACATGGGTAATGCTGGACATTTCATGGGATGTACTTGTTTGTTAAGACAAGACAAGGTGCTGCGGCGATGAGACTAGATTTGAACATCTTAATTTTACAACCTCTTTTAACACATGAATTAGAAATCTTGTTTCGTAAAAAATGAAATATTAATGTTTTTAAATGTTAACAGGCGATGTAATGGAGATCAAAGAATAGACAGAAAAAGGTTTAATTGCTTTCTGGAGAATCAGGAAATGGATTGTCAGTCAGAGTTTTTCTTGTTCAGGAACAGGCTTCAATCACTACATTGATTACTGCGAAGTTCACATCCACTTCAGGATTCTTTCATTGTTTTTGTTCCAGTTAACATGAACTGTGAAAATATCAACGAGGTACTTTAAATGATTATAATCCTGTTAAGTTGCTGGAACAGATTTTACCAGGTGGTGTCACGTTATCACATTATCGAAGAAATAAAATATCAACGGATATATACGATGTAGGAGGAACATTGAATAGTTGACATTATAACACTGATAACAAAAGAACCTTTCCATAATCATAAGAAATCACTGATAAAACCACAGTCCATTGTACGATTGCGACTCCATCCCAAGTACATGTTTAGGAATCACTATGATCGTGAAAAGGTGAGCAAAGGGGACAAAGGTACATGTAAGTCAAGTGTTCAACTGAACAGACAC